ATATCCAACCTTACAGAATAATCACTAGATGAAGATCATATCACGTCATTTTTTTCTCTTCATCTGGATGATGATCAAATACATATCCGATCTGTCTAAAAAGCTGATTTTTTAAAATAGAAATAATTATAACTTATATATAAAACCAGTCATGTTTTTAATCTGCACAAACTCTTACCCTTTTTTATGTACCCATCGCGTTTTGTACCTTGTGATTAAATTTTTTGATGTTTTTTTCTTGGGATATTTCTCTCTATTACTGTATAATTAATTTATTAATAATTCATATTTTAACACATAGAAAAAAAAGATAAATTAATATATATATATAAAAATGAGATTTCTCCTTTTAAAAAAAATATACATGCCTGTTTTAATGATTAAATGAAGATTTACGGCGATTCTACATAAAAAAAAAATTAAAATAACCTGCGATAAATTCAATCCATATACTGTGATATTTGATCGATTTTTGTACTAAATCAATTTTAAAATTTCACTGCGATTATATCTGAAAACCTCGGGGTATACTATACTTTAAAAAATTTCAGTTGCATCACTAGAAAAATTGATTTTGTGCTAAATCTTATAGAAACCAGCAGAGAAGTATTGTACCTTGTTTGATGCATCAAAGAAGTAGTTCATATATAAGCATGTAGCAAATGTAAACAAAAAAAAAGAAGTATTATTTATTAGTTTATATTTACGATAGATGATGTGAAAGTAGAAAATAGTACCGACATTATTTAAAAACGTGACAGGAACAACGCTATAGAGCATACTTGTGGGGCTTCTAATTTATAGTCTGTTGACTAAGGAACACGTTCGATAACGTAGTTTAATACCCTTCATAAGGTAAAGAGTTCGTGTAAAATTTCTCTAAACTGAGACGTAACAGGATGATAAACAAATTATTAGCTTCTCGTTCAGTATATATGACTCCCAAGTTAAATGCATTTACAGTTTTAAATTATATTAGAGAGAAAGGTGGTATTATTATCGAACTGATAATAAAGGCGAACTGTAGCGGATTGTGGCGGCTGAACTGAACTAGGCAGACATCAATAGCAAGGGTAATTATTTTTAAAATATAAATCGTGTAGTTGTAGGTTCACTGGTGCATGTATTCCGTTCCAGAGACTTAGGGGTACATATTAATCTGTGCGATGTTTACGTTTTTTAAAGTTTGGTCTTGACAGACATAAGTTAATTCAAGATGGCGATGCGTGAAATACGAACCCAATTGGTGCTTTTACAGTAATATGGAATTCAACTCCTCCGAACTCTTTCTTTGCAAGCAGACATTCGTCCGGAGCAATTTGTGAAAAAGACACTAGGTAGAAAGTCAATTCTTCCTGAGAATATCGAAAAAGAGCTGCTGGAATATATCAATATATTGTTGATGGAAATCATATTTTTCTATTATAAAAGCATTTTTGCGATAAAATACATTGGAGTAAATAATTTTCTAATTATTTAACATTTTTTTGTACTTTCCTATTTGTTTTTGGCTACACTAAAGTATTTTTTGAAAATATACAGTAAGGTTCCATATTACCACCCGATTTTCTCTAAGCCCACTTTCTGACTTTTTGTACAAAAGGCTTTAAAAAACCATACTTATAGTTACCCTAGCGAAAAATTCAATTAGGAACATTTAGTTTAATAGTTACCAGTACTTTTCGCACAAAAAATGTGGGTGTAGTTATGATACCTTGTTTACAATTCACTAAAATGTAATTGGGGTTCCACTTCTCCACTACTTTTCGATTAACTCCAGCTCAACAATCTGAATTATATTCAACGATTTAATAACTTATTTTTTTAATGGAAAAAAAATGAAATAAAAATACAAAGTTTATTTTTCATCCAATACTCTAGATTTTGCCAACTTCCCACTTAAAACATTTTATACTTCTTTGGAAGTTTTGATACTTTTTAAAAAAAGTATCAAAACTTCCAAACAATTGTTATTGTTTCAAAACAAAGTAAATGCATTATTCAATAAAATCAATCGAAAAAGAAATATCTATTTTATATTAAGCATTTTTAAAGTTGTAAATTTAATATATATATTTTTAAATTAGTTATTAATAATTTAAATATTCATTGAGACAACTTTGTGAGGAATTTAATTCATAAAATGAATCCAAAATGTTATTTTTTCCCCCTATTAAAAAGGTGAATTTCTCTTTATAATTCCCGAATTATAGAATTTTATATACAAATTTCTATAACAGATTCAATGTATAAGTTATATTTAATATTTTAATTCATTAATTAAGAATAATTTGTTCATAAAAATCGATTCTGGATATAATTTGCAATTCGAATTCGAATTCATTCATCACATTAAAAGAGAAACTTGCGTGAATAGAAAAGAAATACGAAGAAAGGAATTATTATTGAGGAAATAAGGTTCATGTTTAACCAAACGTGAATAAACTTTAATTCGCATAAATATATATTATTAAATTATTATACTTACAAAGTACATGTTTATGTTAAGATTGTGAATAACTAGTAATCAATATTTATTAAAATTGTTTTTTTTTTAAATTAAATAAATTGTCTGACGAAATAAAACAATCTTTTTAAAATGATTTATTGTTTTCTATTTTAAACAGAATCTTTTTTTTTAAATAAAATATCCAACGTATAGTTATATCAGTACTTAGTATAAGATAAAGGTAACTGCCTCACTCACGCAATACTTACGCTATGTTTGCTTTTTGCATGATATAACATGTGATTGATTTAACTTAAGGAATAAAACTGGGTTGAGTTTAATAAATCAGATTCTGTACATTTATGTTTCTTAATGTAAAAAAGTACTTTTTTGGTATAAGAATTTTTTTTTCTATTTTCTGTTTAATTTTTTTCGATTTAATAACGTTACGTTTAAAATTAATTCAATTGGAATAATACATTTACCCATATATTATAATAAAATTGAAATGGTGATATTGATGAAAAGAAGGTTGTCAGATTAAATTTCACTGGCCCAAAATCCATTTTTCCCCCTTTTTCCTCTATAGAAAAAAAAAAGAAATATTTTACTAAAATAAAACGTTCTCTTGAGAGATTTAATCATTCAAATATTGTTATTGTTACATTTGTTTTGCATTTTATAATAACTCTTATTTTTATTACAAAATTAATGAAGAAAAATACTCAAATAAAATAAATAATTAGAATAAAAATTAAAAATATTAATTTTGTAAAGTAATACTTTCTACTTTTTTTTATGTTTACAGTATAATTCTCTTAACATTTTATGAAATTAAATATTCTATTTTAATTAGATTTAATATTTTTATGAAATAAAAACCAATTTTTAATATATTCATTATATGAAATACAATATTTCACGTTTAATAAGCAAATTATCTCTCGACGTATAATTAAAGTATTAATATATCTATCAGTTTGTCTGTCATCTTAAATCAGATTTGTTTATAATAGAATATAAAATTAAATGAATTTTATATCTATATATATGAGAATACACAGGCTAACATTATCGTTATTAAAATAAATAAATCAATAAAGAAGTTTAAAAAAAAAAATGCATTAAATTACGCAGCTTTTGACCTAGATAAATTAGGCAACATTAATATATCAATGCCTATTTATTTATTTAAAGTATTTAGAAACAATAGATTGTTTTTTTTATTTTAAAAAAAAAATTAGCTGTAAAGTATCGCTGAAATTCAAGTACGAGTTTGATTTTGGCAGATCTTCAAGCATATTTATATCTTCAATGAAAATAAGTAGCAGCCCAGAAACTATTACACAATTGTCAACACCCGTGTAGTTTTATTTTGTCAATTCTATCTAACATCTTTCACTTAGAAAATCAAGTAATTTATATTTTAAACAATTACATTTCTTTTTTCTTTTCTTTTTTCTCTTGCATTTTCATAAAATTTTATTTTCTAGGGGGAATTCCTTAATGTAGAATACATTAAGCGCAACATAAATAAGTATTTTCAATTGTCGACAATAATCTATTCACTACAAAATAAACTTCTGGGAAATGATTTTCCTTCTAAACTATTAAGGAAAAGATAAATAAAGTAAATTTTATGAGAAAAAGAAATATTTTCTTTCTATAATTACTTAATTTCTAACAGAAAATTTTATAATTATACATAATTACAATTAGAAGTGTAAAGTTCGGTATTAAATTCAACCGATAATTATATAAAATACAAAGAAATTCATCGGATTCTTCCTACTT